GAAGAAAAAAGCGATTTTCGAAATCCTCCGCTCTGCATGTTTTCGAGCATCGGTGTAGAGCCAGCGTAATGTCTAACAGGTGATAGGTCTGACCGCGACCCTGGGCTCCGGTCTGCCGCTGGGCAAGGAAGGTCCATTCGTGCACATCGCGAGCATAGTGGCCACCCTTTTGTCCAAATTGGTGACGAGTTTCCAAGGGATCTACGAGAACGAGAGCAGGAACTGCGAGATGCTCGCCGCGGCGTGCGCCGTAGGGGTGGCAGCCTGTTTCGCGGCCCCTATCGGCGGCGTCCTGTTCAGCATCGAGGTAACCACGGTGTATTTCGCGGTGAGAAATTATTGGAGGGGGTTCTTCGCGGCTGTTTGCGGAGCAACCATGTTCCGTCTGCTCGCTATCTGGTTCCAACGAGAGGAAACGATCACGGCGATGTTCGCAACCAATTTCACCATGGACTTCCCCTTCGACCCCCAAGAGTTGTTCGTGTTCGCGTTGATCGGGGTCGGAAGCGGTATAGGGGGCGCTTTCTACGTCTGGCTGCACAGGCAATACGTGATCTTCATGAGGAAGAACAAAAGTATGAATAGCTTTCTGCAGAAAAAGTGAGTGATGGAGGAGCACGATTATTAGCGGGAGGATCGTAAAAATTGAAAAATTTTATTATTATTATTATTATTATTATTCCAGTCGCTACTTGTACCCTGGAATCGTCTCCTTGCTCGTCTCGTCCGTTTCATTCCCCCTGGGACTAGGCCAGTTCATGGCCGGTGATTTGAATACTCACGATCAAGTGTACGGTTTGTTCACCAACTTCACTTGGACCAAGCAAGAGTTGGGGGTCGAAGAAATGAACATAGTGAAGCATTGGTCCACCGTGTATACCGACGTGTTCATCGGTTTGATCGGTTTCGTTGCGTTCACGGTAAATATAAATAGGAAAAAAATATTTTCGAAAGAAGGAAAGAGTGAAAATTTTGCTTCCAGTTCATCTTCTCGATCATAAGCTCCACTGTTCCCGTTCCATCGGGAATTTTCATCCCCGTGTTCAAGATTGGCGCCGCTCTGGGCAGAGCAATGGGCGAGGCCATGGCTCTGTGGTTTCCCAACGGCGTTCGTTACGGCGGTATCATAACGCCTATCGTACCAGGTGATCTCTCCAATCGATTCCAAATTATTATTCCTCCATTCTCTCTCTCTCTCTCTCTCTCTCTCTCT